ATATTGACTAGCCCCCATTCAGCACAAAGTTTGAGTGAACAACTTTCACTGTAATCTGCATTTAAAAGTATGCACATGGCTAATTCTGTGCAGAACTGGTCCCAACACTGGGATGATCAGACCAGACTGCTGAGAACCCCACCAGGCAGCTGGCACCATCATGGAGAGCATGCGTTTTGTCCAGTGCCATAGCTTCTGAAGCACATCATTGCCAACTTCAGGAAATCACAAACAAAGGTCTGGGAAAACTGTCTTCAGCAGGTAACAAGAGCAAGCCAGGGCTCAAGGAAGCTCAAAACACTTCAAAAAGAATCTTAAATTGCAATTTAGGGATGGGAGGATGTGTTGGGGCTGCTAAGACAAACACAAAAGGCCAGGGTGGGTGTTGTATGAAGACAGTACAAAACCAGCTGTATTAGACTGCCTAATAAGAAATGAGAACAGGAAAGTCAGCATTTGCACAGAGCCCAGCTACAGGAAATAATCCAATTTATAGGAAAGCAAGAGGCTGATGGTGACCTTGCCAAAAATCCAGCTTTCCAAAAATAGTACTGACAAATGAGTAGTGTAAAAATAAGGAGCTAATCAGTAACAATAAGGAGGAAGGAGACAGAAAGTTTGTCTCTCCACGAAAGGTAAATTATGCAGTATAAGAATGACATCCATCCATTTTAAACCGGAATAGCTATCAGTTTCCAGGGACTTATAAATCAGTGAACAGGCTAGGAAAAATGTTAAGCCTATCGGTTTTTTTTCTTTTCCAAACCTGCTTAAATGTTATGAAAATTAACAAGTTGTTTCTGAAAATACCTGCTGCTGCATTTTTCGTCCATCCATACTTTAAGTAGGCTGCAATAGCTCTGGGCCCAGCTCTCTGCACCAGCACCCACCCTGGATGGAGGGGACCTGTGGGGTATCATGATGGCCCCACTGAAGTTGTTCATGTCACTCACTGAGGACATGGAGAAAAGCAGAGAATGGCAGTGCTTAGGACTGTCACCATGCTGTTTTGCAGGCACCTCAGCCAAATCTCACCTCCATGCTCTTGACATTTGAGTGACAGATCAAGCAGTACTCTTGTAGAGTGAGTAGTACTCACGATCACCTGCTTTTCTCCCATCATCCAGAAGTGATCCTCCACCACTGTCACCAACTCTGTCTGGTTTGTAACCAAGTAAGAGCAGATTGGAGATTTGGGGGTTTTGGAGGCTTTTTTTTACTTATAACACAATCCTCCGCAAGATTAGGCACTGGGCAGTCATTATGGACATCATTATCTCAGCACATGACAGACTTGAGAAACCTTTGAGACATGAGTCAATTCAACTTCTCTATGAAAGATGCCAAAAAACCCATGCACCAGGTATAGACTTTTTATAACCAGGAAGATCTAAGATCCAAACCAGAGATCAAAGCACGAACAGGCTCACAAAACCTAATTCCCTCCAGGAACATTGTCAGCATTCAGAAGCAGTAATGTTTTCCCCTGAGGATCCTACATGTGCTCCTGACAGTTAAGCTCTGCCCAGACCAACTCAATTTTATTCACAAAGTAGTAATTTCCCTTCACAATAGAGAGCTCTGAGTCAGCTGCTTAATGAAGGCATCTCACAAAAATCAAAGCCAGGGACTTGGACCAGCGGCACAGGTTCCTGAGCTTGTGCCACTTCACCTCCTGGTGAAGCAGCTCCTCTGTTTGGGACTGCCAAGCTCCTTGCTCAGAGAGCAGGATATGTCCCCTTGAACCTAGACAGCTCCAAACTTAATGTTTAAGTTGGACCTAATTGCCCTCAAAGCAATTATAGCGTCAACAGGGAGAAGTAGGGGACTCCAGCTCATGACTCAGACCCTCCTAAAACAGATATCTAAGAGAGGTAAGATAAATCACAGCCTGAGGGTGTCTATTTCTTCCTACAGGCTCAAAATGAAGCCCAAGGTGACTAGCTGAGATCTGGATGTCCTTTCCTGGACACGTGACTTTAGGTGAGATGACTCCTCCCAAGGGGCTGGTGGAGGACCTGCTGGCTGCAGGTCCGTGTGTCTTACCTGCCCATATACAGGGACATGGCAAGTGTCCATAGACCCTCTCCTGCATCTTAATAAATATTACATTAAAAAACAGAGAGGGAGAGAGCCAGGAGAAAAGGAGCGTGTCTGAAGGCACCTAAGCATGAAGATGTTCCCCAGCACAGGCCGAGGTATTGATTTACATATAGTTGTAATCTTGTTGTTATGCAGGAGCTATTTGCTGCCTGCACGTCCTTCTATTAATGGCCATTTTTCCAGGCCCTCTTCTCACCTGGTCCTTACATGCACAGCCTTCCCTCCCCCCACATCACTGAGACCCAGACCTTGCTCTTCAGCCGTGAGACATTTGCCTCAGCATCTTGAAGATCTAACAGCAGATGAAAATGCCCCTTACTTTAAACCTCTGAAGTAAACAGTCATTGCCAGTATTCAGCTTGGTGTTGCCTGAGTGAAATACAAGGTGAAAGATAATTCATCCTTTAGGTAATTTGGTGACAAATCACTTAGAGACCTGTAAACTAGAGTGACAAGCTGCTCCTCGGGTCCTGTTGCAAAGAGGTAAACCTCACCATAACCTTCCCTTTGCTTTACAATAATGCCCTGACAATTGCTCTGCAGAAGTCTCCTTGTGCCTGTCCTGTTAGATTATCTAAAGACGCTCCCGTATTCTGCCTGAAAGATTGCGACAAATTGCACTGCATCAGGGATGTCCAAGAGAGAGGAAAATGCATTTCCAGACACTCTGGCTGCACAATTGAGACCAGACTTTTTAAATGTGAGCATATCAACAGGCTCTCCATCTCCTGCGTCAGCAGATCACTTGGGACTGGCGTGTCCATTTACAGTGTGAGCAGGTACGCATCCAAGTAACAGATTAAGCTGTGGAACAGCCACCAAAATGCTGCTTTTGGCAACTTGCTTGCTTTCTATGGAGCAGCTGAAAAACCTGTCTTATCTGACTGTTGAAGAAAACAGGAGGGACCTCGCTGATCTGCGCAGGAGGTGTGGCCCTGCTGCCGGCTCCATTCGCTCCTGTGGCCCCACTATGATGTCTGGGAGGAGGGATCCTCCTTTCTTCATCAGCACTTTGTAGCGGTGGGCTGCAAATATGCCCTTGGACAATGACCTGGAAGTCCTGTTTCTCACTGTGGTCTTCTTGTCCACCCCTCCCAGTCTACGATTAGTTCAGCAGTGGTGCAGAAACAGGCAGTTCTCCTCAGAAGTAGTGACCCCTCAGCCTGAGCACCCACAGGAGTGTCACACCTCTTTCCTTTCTCTCCCCCTCCATCACAAGTGAGGGTATACCCCTGTCATCCCCCCATTTTCTCTGGAGCCACATCCCTGAGGCAGGGCCCAAATTTTTGAGCTGTCAGTCCATGGGCAAGTTCTGCTGAAAGCAGTTTGGTGGTGAACTGCAGATGTTCCATCATCTGGTCTGTACGGTGGCTGCTGACCTACACAAGACATGAAAGCAAAGCTGACAAAAGCACATGGCGAGGGGATTGCTGAGTTGATATGTTATCAACAGTTTGAAATAAAGGAGGGAAATCACCAGACATTCAAACAAAAAGGCACCACAAGGACAAGAAGTAAAAGTCCTAAGAGAAGCAGCGGCAGGACCAAGGCACAGAGGAGGTCAGCACTTCCCCACCTGCCTGCCCCAGTCTGGCTGATGGGGACCCACTGGGTGATGGAGCAGGGCTGGTGAGGGTATTGGGGCTTAGCCTCGCAGCATGCTTACCCCAAAGTAATCCTCATTTTGTGACAGCAAGTTATTGTATGTGTGATCCTGCTTTCAAGTCTTCAAGTTCCATGGAAGATTTCAGGAAGACACCTCAGACTTCCAAAGCTGCCCAGGGGCTTCTGATGCGCGGAGGCAGGGCATTGCCCCTTCCCTTGCCCTGTGATACCACTAAAAGTATCAATATTCCTCCAGGTTAGAGAGCTGTTAGCTCCATAACTACACATGATTGTTGGCAAAGACACACTAATTCCTGGCCACAAATAAGATCTGGTCCTAAAAGACCACTAAGGTCCACAGGAATTTTCCTTTTAGCAGTGAGCTATGAAAAAGACGCTAAGCAGTCTACCCTATACACACTGCATCCTAAAAGTGCCATTTATCAGCAAATAATAATCTCACTTGAAATCAGTAGGAATATTCAAGTGTTCCAAAACAAGGCCATTTGAGAAGAATTAAGCCTAATTAAGGTACAGAATGATGAAGGTAATTTATAAATAACCAGGACGAAAGGGAATGTGCTCTTCTAGTGGGTGATGTTTGCTTTAAGGTCCTGTTATACCCTGAGACAAGAGGTGGATCCTCTTCCGAGAAGAGCTTTAAACAAGAGAGACAACAATTTAAGTGGGAATGTGGGATGAGGAAAAGCAAGAATATATGTATATGGCACATGTAGTGTGTTTTTCTGTGTCCCATTGCCTTTCATTGGCCTGTCTCTTCTGGGAGGCTACATTTTCCATGATCCACTACTTACCTGATATGACAGAGGGAAGGCTGATGTGTGGCAGAAGACACAGTTCAGCCACTGAACTTGGCCAGCCATAAGAAAGAAAAGGACTACCCGGGATCTCAATTCAACTCACAGTTGGGATCCTCATTTTCAAGAAATGCACATCCCTCTGAAAAGTATGGCCAAGACATACCAGTTGGTACGTCAAATTAACTGTGAAAAGCATGAGTTATCTTTTGAAAATCCAGGTCTTCTTACGAGAAACTTTGAAAAAAAAAATGCTGAAAAACTTGTTTTCCTGACACTAGGCAAATTCATGACAGTCACCCACACTGTGTAATCAGAAAGCGAAATGTAAGAAATGTAAGTAACATAAGAAAGTTTCAGAAAAACACAATGTTCCCCAGATGTCTTCAGGCTCTACTGGGATTTTATTAGGTTCCCTGAAACAAGGACAGAAGCTTTCCAACAAATTGAACGAGCAGGTGTTAGCACCAAGCTTCACATCTCTCCAAGCTGATGCTCAATTGCCAGCTTCTGTCCTTCTTTTTCATACATTAGGGAAGTGATGGCAATGAGCTCCTTTTCCAATCTTTCCATTTGTATCGTAATGTCTGACACAGTATTTTTCACATCATTCATCTGCTTCTTCAATATATTGTATTCTTCTTCGAAGGATTTGTTCACGTTGGAGGGAACGTGATATCCTTGTTTCTCCTCAAGTACAGGGTTCATTTTCAGGAAGATGTGGAGGAGTTTGGGTAAGTCCTGGAGAGCCTGGAGGATTTCATGCTCGCCCTGAAAGCTTGGAGCAGACTTAATCTTATTCTGGGTTGGAGTGGTGTTGTTCTTTTTAGCTTCATGCTCCTGCTGTGGGGTTGGGCCAGGATTACCTTCTTCCACAGCTGTGATGGTGTCAGTGTCCTTCTGAAGGTCTGTGCTGGCATCTTTGCTCTCTTCAAGGACCGTGATGGTTTCTTTGTCTTTCCAGTTGATGGGCACTCTTTTATTCTCCCGCTGGAAATCCTCTAAGATTCTGTTCTTTTCCTGGACTTCCTGGAGAGCCTTGTTGTCTGGCCTGACCGGAAAGCCTATGTGCTTCTTTTGGAAGAATGACAATGGCTTATTTTCCTTCTGGAGGCTTTGCTGAATATCATCAGTGTAAATAACCTCGACAGGTTTGCTCTGTGACTGAAGACATTGTAAAGCCTTGTTTTCGTCCCAGAGCACCCTGTTTTCAATCCGGAGGGCTTGATTTTCCTCCCAGAGTACTCTGTTCTCCTCCCAGATACTCCACTCATTCTGTTCCTTCTTGTTAAAGAGTTTCCTGTGGGAAGCAAGGGGTGGCTGGCAGTAGATCTCATTCACCCGTTTACCATCAACAAAGACAAGGATCTCATCCCTCAGTTTCATCCGTGGGTCAATGTAGTCTATCTCAGGTTCTGTACACTGCGTGCTCCGGTTTGTCAGATCAAAATCAGACATGGCTTTTCTTTAGTAAATTGAGGAGGACTGTGTGAAAAGGCTTCTTACAGGAATTCTGCAAGAGGTCACTGTCCACTTGCAAAAAGTAGGTGACACAGCAGGGCTGGAGAAGCTTGATCAGAGCTGAAGGAACAGAGACCACAAATGCCCAAGAGTTACTACCAAAATTCAAGGTTAGGATTAAAGTACATTGGATGACAGGAACAAACAAGTTACTTCCCACAGTTCGACTCTCAAAGGTAAGGAATACACTAGAAACATAGTTTATAGAAACTCAGAAAATCGTCATTGGTAGATAAAGCATCTCTTCTATGCCAAGCTTTGGTATAAAAACCTCAACTCTCCTTTTATCTCTCTACCTGCTTTTTACAGATATGTAAGAGAGTCAAATGTAAGAATAGCTTGTGCCTCAGAATAGCCTGACAGACAAATAATGAATTAAAAACTGTGATGGGGCAGAAACCAACTTTTCAAAATAAAACATTTTTAAAGGATCACAGTGAAAAACTGACCTCGAGAGCTGCTTTTTCTTGTTGATGCTCAGCAGCCTGTGTTAACAGGATACCACAAAAATGCAGTGGCAGTTGTGCTTTTTGACTGTAAAATCCTCAGAACTGGAAGAGCACCAAGTGATACAATATGCACAAATGATTAAAACTCCAAACCAGAGTCCTGGGACATTAGGACCAGGAGAGCTCTGTTGTTCTTTGTGTGTTTTTCTGACAAGTTCCTATCACTATGGTCCAAAAACTGTCACAACAAGATAATTATCTTTCTCATTTCTCCCATCACTTTTTTCCTTTATATCCTTTGATAGCTCCATCATTTTTCTTGCTTTCTATCCTTGCAATAGTGATTGCCTATCTCTTTCCTAGAGTCCATCAGCCTCTTATTCACATCATCAGAAAACCCATCTCTTTAAAAATCCATACTGCAGGGCCATGCCTCCAATGCTTCTCATTTCAGTCACAGAAACCTCAGACTTAGCTACTCTTGCCTCTTACCCTCTACTCAAAATGTTGTGATTTAAATCACCATCTAGTCATGAGTAAACCTGGGCAAATGAAGGATTTGTCTTTTTACATGAACAAAAAGAAAAAAACCAAAAACAAACCCAAACAAAAACCAAACAACCAAAAAACCCACACCACAAAATAACACGCTCTGTGACAAAATCTTATTTTCTGCAGTTTTTTACCAGAATTGAATTTGTGTGATTTTCCTGATGAAGTCATTTGAACGGAGGTTGAACTATTTTTTATAACCAAATTGTTGGAATTCTTAAGGTTTCTGCACAGCGTTTCTAACAACACAAATGTGCCTTTCTTTTAGTTTAAAAACAAAAAAAGTTGACTGTGAAATTTCACCCAGTTCTACCCTTGTACCCCACTGAGGTCCCCCAGATGCCCTCCTGTCCCTTGGGAAACCCAGTCCTGCCTTCTTGTTGATGAGGGGAGTTTTACCCTCATTAATTTTGCCCCCGTGTCTCTGCCCTAAGAATGAGGCATGGGGTGACAACCACGCACAAGCTCCTCATACCCTCCAGCTCTGCCATCACACTGTGCACCCCCTGTCCTGTTTTCACCCTCTCCTTTCCAAAACCTGCTGCTTCTCCCTTTCCCTGCCATCTCTACCACACAGCTCTGCATCTCCAGGTGCCTTCAGGTTACTTCTGAGAGCCAACATCCATAGATGCTTCCTTCCCCCTCTTCCCAAGCTTGTCCAAAAGCTCAGAGAATTATTGGTTGGATTTAAAATCCAAAATCCATTAATGCAGAATAGGGCAATTGAAGTATAGGTCTGTTCACACTAACACTTGATTTTATGGCAATAGAGTCTCCATCTGACTTTCAGGTTTGTCTTCCACATCACCAGCTGGTTTATCTCACATCAGTCTTGTGTTTTCATAACATCATTCCTCTGCTAAAAGGGATTTCCCCCAAAACCCCCAGTTTTGGAAGGGTTTGTTTCCACTTAATGCCACATTCAGAGCTGTGTGTCTCTTATTCCCTTGCACCTTCTCTTCTGCAGCTTTTCTGACCTGTCCCATTCCTTGGGGGTGCCCAGCCCCATTTTTCCACCAGTAGCCCCAGGATGGGGAGGTAAATCAGACACAGATGGAATGAACCCCTAAGTATTCGGAGAAGCAGAAAGCATTAATGATCATAAGCCCCGACCCGCCTGCCACTGCATATCATGGGCAAGCAGCTGGAGTTGTTAAAGTCACTTATGTTTAGAGTGCTTGGACGGCATGTTTTTGGGATAAACCAAAATTTATAATATATACGGCATTGAAGGACATTATCTTGGGGACAATTAAACTTGACAGCAGCTCTGTCAGCTCTTTTGCACTGCAGGGGAGACATTGACCCAGGCTTCAAAGATATGCTTCAACTTCCCCTGCCTCACCTATCATTCTCCCTTCCCATCTCTGAATTAAATAAATGCTGGTCAGCTGGGTTGGGGAGGCAGGGCAGCTGGCTGGGGTAAAGCTGCATGAAATCAAGCCAGGCTGGGTAATTTGGCAGCGCTAAATTACACGCCTGACGTGTGCTTACCTGCTCACTGGGGCTGATGGTCTCCCTCTCCCCGAGCCACTGCCAAGCAGCACGGTCTGAGGTTCTGCTGCTGCCAGGGAGTCCAGGGACACCAGGGAACAGAGGGGCCCAATTGTGATGCAAGCGCTGTCAGGGACCTCACTCCACAGCCAGCCCCATGCCACTCCACCCCAGGGCTGGGACCTCCTGCACACCCTCTTTGCACAACCCACTTCTGTGTTCTTTCCTTGCTGGCCTCCCAGGATTGTCTATGATTTTTCCCAGCATTGTGGTTTTGGGTTATTTCTCATGGAAATGACCTTTCTAGTAGCTCAGCTCTCATGCCCTTTCCTGATCCCAGACTTCCCGATCTGCCTTTGATGCTCATAACTGAGAGCAGTTTGAGTGCATTCTTTATCCATCACTTTCCAAACAAACTTTGTTTTCATTCCAAATCTTCAGATCAGTTTGTTGCTGCACTGATATTGATACATTCAAAAATCACCTCCTCGTATTCGCTATGAGACCTGAAATCCTTTTCCAAGGACAACAAGGGTTTGGAGTTTTTCTTTGACTGTAAGTTTAAGAGCAGATTATCACTGAACCCTATTAAGAAGAAAATAGAATATGCAGGGCATTCATGCATTGCAAGTTTAGATATTATTTGTAGCCGCTATTCCCACTTCCATGTCTTTACATTTCTAATTATCTCATTCTCTTTCTTATTTGCTACATCTTTCAGATGTGGGATTTTTTTTTTTTTTTAATCAGGGTTCTTGAATAATAAATACAGCAATTAATTCATTTTCCACTGAAAATTACCAACTTGACATCAGCCTCAAGGTGACTGTTATTGCTTTAGGAATTTGGAGGTACAGTTCAGCTTTGGTGTTACACAAAGATGACAAACTCAGGTATAAAATTCTTCTCTGTAATTTCTCCCTTGCTTATATTTCATCTTAGACAACAAAAAACATCACATGTTACTATGGCAACTCCCCAGGGAGCATTCTCCTTTATTCGAGCTCCAGGATCCTGCACAGGAAAGCAGGAAAATGTCCTCAAAAGAGAAAGGAAAAGATTTCATCATGGGGTGCTTGTGCCATCAAATGGGAATTTAAGGGTGCCACTCAGGTGCAGCCAGTGATCAGGAGGGGTGACTGAAATGGCCAATCTGAACTTCTGAAGAACTGAGGCCATGGACCACTGAAACAGACTTTTGATGCACCTTTTAAGGGTTAAGAACCGACTGGAAACTGAGTTAACAGGTACAAGTGGAGCATAGGACTGATCAGCAGACAAAGCCTGCTTAAGCCAGAGCTGTTGAGAATGGTTAGCAGTGTACCTTTGCCTTTTCTTATGCAGTATTATCCTTAAAGCTGGATAAAGTTCTTCTGGCAAGTCATTTATTTGCTGAAAATTATTACTTCAAATACCAATATATTTGGATCAAATTTAGTATTATCAGATGTGTGTGCGTGTACATCAGAACTGGAAATGCTGCAACAGCTCGCTGCAGAATTTTCTGTAGCAGCTACACTGATTTCTGAGCTGGATTATCAAAAGGACTGAGATGTCATTCACAAGATTATGCAGGCAGAAATAATGCTGAGTGTGTTCTCTTCCCTGCCAAGAGACAAGTAACCCCTGCTCTGTAAGAAGGGTTCGAACAAACTTCCCAGCTGAGTGCTTTGTCCACAGCTTCAGACTACTCAATTTCTCCAGGTGAAGCTGTTTCACTATACAAAAAAATTAAATATTAATTGGAACCAAAGCCATATTCCCTGTCTTACCTGCACACCTTACACCAGGCTGTTCAGCTGACCTTGCTGTTCCTTTTCCCGGAGATTTTCTGGTTCTGGAAAGGATCTAGTGGGATGATCCCACACATACTCATTTGATACAGTCCAGTTTGGAAACTCAGCTCCATGCTGGGCTGCAAGAGGTCACCATCTGGCGATGGGTTGGAAGTGGCGGGGGGAGAGTGAGATGGGGACTGCTGTTGTGAAGATCTTGCAGGAAGGACCCTGGAGACCCCATCTCAGCCTCCTTCCCACTGGGAACGGTAGCATGCACATACACTAAAGTTCAGCCCATCCCTTCCTTTGCTTTTGAGTTTAGAAGACCTGTTAAAGTGCCTGCAATCAAAACAATCTGGAGAGAGGCAATTAGTAAAAGCATAATGTTTCTTTGAATTTGGAGCATCTTCTCGCTTTTTCTCTTTTTATAAGTGTGTTATATTCTCAAATCTTTATTTGATAAAACCAAAGGCATCCACTGTCACTTCCTACTATCCCAAACACACTTGTGTTTCTGAAATGCCAGCCTCTGTTCATGTCATTGCAGGCTGGTCTCACTCTACACTCATCCACCCTTCTCCAGGGCATTAATCTGGGATGTAAATCCCACTGAGTCACGAAAAAGATTCTTGCATATTTGAGTTATCTTGAATCATCTCCTGAG